TCTCTTGGCTTGTCTACCACCACGGGCCTCCATCTTTCATTCGATGCTCTCTGATGGCGCCTCTTGAATGGATTTAAATTTATAACATTCTTATAATTATTGTGTTGTCGAGGATTTGGGACACAACCATTCTCATGAAACCAAAAATTAACCCACCGTTCGTAAGTAACCCTGTCAGATTCATTCGCATAGGCAATCAATGCGAAAATATTAAAGAGCCACAGACAAGACTTGGGAAGATGATCCGTCAACTCTGAAAGGCTTGGGACTACTTTTTCATAATAATGACCCATGATTGAAAGTCCACTTATCTCGCGAATGTCCCAAAGAGTAATGCCAATTTCATCATTGGTAGTTATAAAGGTGTTGATGTCTGGACACCAAACCTCACAAAAAGCTCTGTAAATAGAGTTTGGGCGATGGTAATTTTTTGTAGCAGAACCGACTGCAAAAGCTAACTCGCAGAGATGCACTCCATGCTCTGGGAATGATGAGGCAGAAGACACAAAAAGGGAAGATGATTGTTAGAGCGGTTGGACTTGCTAGTATCCAAACTCTCGTGACATTCACTAATGGTGGACATATGCAACTCCGACAATGGCTTCAGAAGATCAGGGGAAGGATCTGTCGTTGGCTTATGGATACTAAATTTAAGTTCACCTCATACGCCAATCTGGACATGGTACTTCACATCAGTATCTTTGAAACACAGATAACTTTTGCCTCGATTTTTAAGCTCAACAATTTCGTGCATGTCAGAACACACTTTATCATCAGAACTTGTTCCAGCCATGCCTGTAAAAAAAAGCCAGCTAAAAAAAAGAGGCAGTAATTCTCTTAAATTAGTTTATTGTCTAAAATCACGAGTCTCCCAAATATGTAAGCAGCCTCTACAAAGTGCCTTGGACAGTTGAAGGAACAAGTACTTGGTCCCAAACATGAAGTGCCTCGGATGATAGAAGGAGCCAATCCTTAGTCCTTAACACAAATGCCTTGGACAATTGAAAGAACGAGTTCTTGGTCCTTAACCCAAAGTGTCTTGGACAGTTAAAGGAACGGTCGTTGGTCCTCAACACAAAGTACTTTGAACGATAGAAGGAGCCAGTCCTTGGTCCTTAACCCAAAGTGTCTTGAACAGTTGAAGGAACAGGTCATTGGTCCTCAACACGAAGTGTCTTGGACTGTTGAAGGAACGGTCCTTGGTCCTCAACACAAAGTATCTCGGACGACGGAAGGAGCCAGTCCTTAGTCCTTAACACAAAATGTCTTGGACAGTTGAAGGAACGAATCCTTGGTCCTTAGCCCAAAGTGTCTTGAACAGTTAAAGGAACAGTCCTTAGTCCTCAACACAAAGTGCCTTGGATGGGATGGATGGAGCCAGTCTTTAGTCCTTAACACAAAATGCCTTAGACAATTAAAGACACAAGTCCTTTGTCCTTAATCCAAAGTGTCTTGGACAGTTGAAGGAACATGTCATTGGTCCTTAACACGAAGTGTCTTGGAAAGCTGAAGGAACGGTCTTTGTTCCTCAACACAAAGTGCCTCGGATGATGGAAGGAGCCAGCCCTTAGTCCTTAACACAAAATGTCTTGGACAGTTGAAGGAACGAGTCATTGGTCCTTAACACAAAGTATCTTGGACAGTCGAAGAAACAGGTCCTTAGTTCTCAACACGAAATATTTTGAACAGACAAAGGAGCAGGTTCTTGGTCCCTGACAAAAAGTGCATTGGATGGTGAAAAGTGGTAGTCCTTTGTCCTCAACGTGTATGAAGGTTTGCAATTTTGAATTTGTTTATAAGCATATATTTCCTGAACTCATGGAATAATTTGCAACATAAAAAAAATAAAAAATTAACCTCTACACGAAGAAAATTTTGAACCTCAAAATCCTTGATTCAATCCAAAAGGTTGAATCCCTGAAAATAATAATAATAATAATGATGATGATGATGATGATGATGATAGTTTCAACGTTGTTAAAACAAAAAAATAATAATAACAATAACAGTAATAAAAAAAGGGAATAAAAGAAAATAAAAAAAGGAGAGAAAGAAATAAAGACAAGAAGAAAAAGAAAGGAAGAAGAAACAAAAAAAAAAAAAATCTGCACAAAACCCAGAAACCAAGTAATTGGTTTTTGCCATTGCGCAGAAAACCAAGCGACCATTGCATAGAAAACCAAGCGAAGGAAAAAAAAAGTGGTTTCTGCATTCCAAGAAACCAATTACTTGGTTTCTGTGCAAAGGCAGAAACCAAGGAAAAAAAGGAGAGAGAAGAAAAAAGGTGAGAAAGAGGGGGGAAAATGAATACATGTTTTATCTCTGTTTGCAAGATTTAACAGACTTGTTCCCAAGTTTTATAATTTCTTCGTGTAAATAGACAGATAACGGACTTCATTTAAGCCCAATTTCCCATAAAATACAAAAAGCCTGTTCAAATTAAATTTCTTATTGGGTCATATAAAATAAATAAATAAATAATCGAAATTCGACAAAATAAAAAAAATCTTATTCTCGAATTTGGAGGATAAGAATTTTATCAAATTCACTCAAGCGTTCCACCTGTATTAATTTACTAACAGGATGTTTGAGGTCAAATAAAATAAAATAAAAATTTAAAATCGAACAAATCAAAAAATAAAATCGAAAATCAAGATTTATAGACATAAAAAAAATAATAAGTAAATAAAATAAAATGGATTTGGTCGATTTAAATTATTAGCCCAATTAAATTTAAGTCTACTAAAGTCCATAAAACTCAAGGGTCCATACCAAATTTTAAATAAATAAACAAATAAATAAAATCATAATTACTCAATTATCTCTTTTAATTAAATACAATTGAGCAATTACCAAAATTAGCATGAATTCTCCCCTATAAATAGAACCAATAGTCCAAAAAAAAGGAGAGGTGAAAGCTGAAGCAAGAAAGAAAGCAGAGAGCGCTACGAAGTGCTGAAGAAATTCCAAGGACGGAAAAAGAGAAGAAATTCTCTCAAACCTAAACTCGGTGAACCCCAAGAAGATTAAAATCTTTTTCGAATCAAACATGTTCACGCCAAATCCAAGAAGATCAAAATCTTCTTCAAATCAAATCAAATTCGAGTCAAAGTCTCAAGATTCAAGTTCCGAACAAGTCAAGTCTTAAAAAATCAAATTTTCAACAAATTCTCGAAGACCAAGATTCAAGCCACGTGCCCCCTCGTCTTCAAAATTCAGATAACTAATCAGAGGATTTTTACAATTTTGCAATTACAAGAAGGTCAACATCATTTGTATTTATCAAAGTACAATTTGTAACAATTTCTGTATTTTAATACACGAGATTTCGTCGTACTGGCTGCTTTGGCAATGATTGATGGGGGAGAACTTGATTGGAAACTAGTTGCAATTTCAATTGATGGTCCAAAAGCTTCCCTAGTTAATGACACAAGTACACAAAATTAATATTTTCAATAAATTTTACTTTTATAATGATAGTTCACTTGAGACTTCAAAGAAGGTATAGTGTATTTATCCTTGCCGAGTACAAGAATGAAGATTTTGTAAAGGACATGTCCAAGTCTCAACTGCATGGTAAACTTTTAGATGTTAAATTCCGCATATATATGTAAAAATAAGGAGATAAACAAATCATATTGGCGAGTTAATTGTTCCAATGGTCACTGAACTTAGGTTCATATCTTTGATTGGCCACTGAACTTTAAAATATTGAGTTTTGATCACTGAACTTAGATCCATATCTTTGATTAGTCACTGAAATTTAAAATGGCGAGTTTTAGTCATTAAACTTAGGACAATATCTTCGATTGCTCACTGAACTTAGGTCTGTGTCTTAAATTACTGACTGAAATTTAAAATGTTGAGTTTTGACCACTGAATTCTGAAATTTGCCGTGTGTTACTCACTAGCATAACTATTAAAATTTGAAAAATATTGAGTTTACAGTGAATAATGTACAATATTTTTCAAAATTCAGTGAATAATGTACAATATTTTTCAAAATTCAGTAGTTAAAACTAGACATTTAAATTTCAGTGAGCAATCGAAGACATGGAGCTAGGTTCAGTGACAAAAACTCGACATTTTTCAAAGTTCAGTTGCCAAAACTTGACATTTTAAATTTCAGTGGCTAATCAAAGACATGAACCTAAGTTCAGTGACCAAAACTCGACATTTTAAAGTTCAGTGGCCAATCAAAGACATGAACCTAAGTTCAGTGACCATTGAAACAATTAACTCCATATTGGCATATTTTCTATGTTGGACTGGACGGAATTTGACGAGGCTATTGATATATTTTGTCACATATGCTTCTTTCTTAATCTTGTCAGCATTCCAACTTAGTAAATGGACCATATATGTCTTGTAAATTTATGGTCTCCATTCTTCTTATTCTTAGTGATAACTACTCTGGACTAAACACATTATTATCTTCAGGGAACCCTTACTGCAAACAGAGACTGGTGTAGAGACTATAAAATTCCCGATGGGAAACCTGCTAACAAGTTTGGTCTTGGCAACAAGCCATTTAACAAGGTATCTTGAGAACTATAACCAAACATTTCTGTTTATTTTTGGATAATATTGTGAAAAATCTCGAAGTGGCTTAACGAGTCCATGATTCTCATTTTCTATCCTCTTCCAAACACTAAGATAATGGTCAGGCTGCTCGATCCTGATTAGAAACTTACGTTAGTTATGTTGGTTTAGTAGTAAAACTTGTGAAACACCTCCTAGAGGGTAAAAATTGTATAGTACAATAAGGTGGCCATGACTCTTACTTCAGGTAGATATGAAGTGCATGGATACAAGTTAGGCCACCAAGATAGTACCTATCTGAAGCATATCATTTTCCATTTTCATTTCACAGGGTTCTTGAACTTGTAACTGGGAGAGTCATGGAAATTCAAGCAAAATCCTTTTTCACCCAGTTTTTGATTCATCTGTATACCGACAAATCAAAACATGAAATTGAACTAGCAGCCATAAGAATTGCATTAAATAGCTAAGGCAAGAATTTTTGCATTTCTTTCCCAGGAGAGTGTAATTGAACAAATGTGAATGATTTCAAATGCAATAACATTATTTACGCTCACAAGAGGCATTAGAAGAAAGAATTTACATTAAATACGAGTGTCAAAAACCAGCACTTTACCAACTGGCTAGTCTCAAGAGAATTTATGCTTCGTGAAAACTTATGCTGTTTCGGTCTTCTTCCTTTCCTGTGAAGGAGTTGGGCTTGAATTTTCAATAGTGCCTGGATTCTCACTCTCGTCATCAAAACTATCTACACTCTGAAGAAAAATACCTACCAAAGTACACAAGGTTCAAATATCTTAGACATACGTTAATTGTTCTCAGTTGTCAACAAATTAATTTATCAATATTCTCGTGAAAAGATAGCTAAAAGAGTGATGTTAATAAAGGGGGAGTCAACTTCTCATTACCAAAATTATGTTAGCATCCTCAGAATAGAAATCAACCATGGAAATACCCATAAAACCTTGATAAAACTGTAAATAAAAGATTACCTGCAAACCATATTACGGCAGCCAGGAACAGAATGGATGTAAGAATAAGAGCAGTTTTCCTCCAATTGTTAAGATGATCCTACAGAAAGAAATTGTGATAAGGAGAATATCATCAAACATTATGATGAGTACTTTTAGATCTCTAAGTAGATCTAAGAATGAAAAGAACGTACTTGCGAAAAAAGGATCTATGTAGCAGATCCCTTGTTGCCAAAAGATTTGGGGTCCACTACATGAATCCCTTTTCGCCACTCCCTTCAGTGCATCGCTAGATTTACAGGCAGATCTAAAGCAACAAGATCCTTGACAACCATCTCATTTTGGCCCAGTCGCCCCACTCTTTCTTTATGTGCGTACACGCATGTGAATATACTGTCATCATTCACTGCCTTTTCCTAAAAGTAAATAATAGTAACATAAACTTAGCAAACCTGGAGAAGCCCAACGAGAGGAGCAGAAGGCACGTCACCAAAGATGTGAATGGAGACGGTAGACATAGCCATGGATAATGGTCTTAAACTAGGTGTGACACAATGTAGACAAACAAAATTTACAGGGGCCTGCAGAGGCATAAACAAATTGTTAATACTCAATTACTACTGATCCTTAACTGAAAATTCATGGAAGAAAGAAAGAAAGAAAAAGAAAGGTAAATTTAGCAAATTTATGCAACATTAAACAATTATTTTCTACTAAATATATGTAATTTAATTTGGTTAGCACAATATCACGACACCTCAAAGATGTACTGAGCAAACTCTTCTAGAAGTTAAAAGTAGAAACTGAAGAATAGTATAAAAGTGTTAAATTTAAAAGAAAAAGGGAATAAGCGGAAACACCATCATATGAGGGCACCAAAATCAGCGACTACAAAGTGTAGTCTTAAAGACAATAGATAATAAGAATATTGACAAATTTCAAATGTGAAACAAGAACAGAAAATGTGGCGAAGGCATGAAACAAAGTAAAGCGTAGACCATCTACATTTGTAAATTACCATAAGCATAAACAAGGGTTCACTCACAAGAAAATTTACCTGGGTGGCAAATATTAGCAGTTCTCCTATTGCAAAAATAATCACGTAAGCAATTAGGCTCTTAAAGCAAAATGCGACAAAGCAAAATATTGCTCCAAATAATGTTGCCACAGACAGAAGCTGCATCAGAGATAAAGACTTTGTTAATGAAACCCACATTACATGCTAGCATGGTATGAAACTCAGGTTGTCCAATATCTTCAGTTTGTAAGGTTATTTAGTTACGGGATTCAAGTTCAATGAAACTCAGCATCCAATTCTCTGTTAAGCCTATAGTAAAGGTTCATTTCCTAGTTTCAGCTTTATTTCAAGGAATTTCCATTGTCATCCATCTTTTACATTATTTCACTATAATTCTCAACTAGGTACAAGACTTACCTTCTGCTTATATCTTCTACTCTGTCAATTTTTTT